CGCACTGCAGTCTGGGTGACAGAGTGAGACTCCAACTCAAAAAAAAAAAAAAAAAAAGAGAGAGAGGAGAGGCATGCATTACTCAAAAAAATACCATTGTCATGAAAGACAAAGAAAAGTTGAGAAACTGTCCTAGATTAAAGGAGAAGAAAAAGATATGACAACTAATTTAATTTCTAGCCGGGCTTGGTGGCTCAGCCTGTAATCCCGTGCCTTTGGGAGGCTGAGGTGAGTGGATTGCCTGAGCCCGCAGGTTTAAGACCCACCTGGGCAACTTGGCAGGACCTCATCTCTACAAGAAATCAAAAACTAGCCGGGTGTGGTAGCGCACGCCTGTAGTTTCAGCTACTTGGAAGGCTGAGGCGGAAGGATCACCGGAGCCCAGCAGGTCGAGGCTGCGGTGGCCGGGAGCGGCCACTGCACTCCAGTCTGGGCAACAGAGTGGAACTCCAACTCAAAAAAAAAAAAAAAACAAAAAAATTTCTAATATGGCAAACATTGATAGATCTATGACACACAAACAAAAGGAACCTGAGACTAAAAGGTTATTAGACCTGCTGTAGTGGTTTAGAGTAGAGGCTGGCAAATACCAATGTATATTTTTTGTAAATAAAATTTGAATAGAACTCAGCTGTATCTTTTGTACTGACAAATATTGTCTATGGCTGCTTTGGTACTACAACAGTAAGTTGAGTAGTTGCAATAAAGACAATATGGCCTGTGTAATCCTACAATATTTACTATCTGGTCTTTATAGAAAAAGTTTGCTAACCCCTGGTATGGAGCACAGATAGATTTTGTAATCTGACAGACTTAGGATTCAATTCTGATTCTACTTCTAACTAGCTGTGGGACTTTAGATAAGTTATTAACCTTTTATGACCTCAGAAGGTTAACATATAAAATTGGGATGATAATACATAACTTATAGGGTTGCTGTGAGAATTATATAAGTAATGTATATGAAGCATTTTAAAATAGTATTCTTTTTTTTTTTTTGGAGTTGGAGACTCATTCTGTCACCCAGACTGGAATGCAGTGGCCGCTCCCGGCCACCGCAGCCTCGACCTGCTGGGCTCCAGCGATCCTTCCACCTCAGCCTTCCAAGTAGCTGGAATTACAGGCATGCGCTACCACGTCTGGCTGATTTTTTGATTTATTGTAGAGATGAGGTCTTACCAAGTTACCCAGGTGGGTCTCGAACCCACGGGCTCAGGCTATCCACTCACCTCAGCCTCCCAAGGCACGGGATTACAGGCTGAGCCATCGAGCCTGGCTTAAAACAGTATTCTTAGTAAGAACTCAGTGAATGGCTTCTATTATTATTTCCATGCCCAACGATCTTTTTTAATATCTTTCTACCACCATGACACAAAACACCATTATGGTTGTTGATTATTATTCTTCATGAACTATAATTTATTTCATAATGGAGTTAAGATGGAATGTGTTAAGCAATGCGACAATCTATAGGTTAAAATGCATAATAACAAAGTCTGTCAAAAACTATGTCCTCTTCAATGTCTCCCTTATATGCTGTTCTAAATCTTTACCAATTGAACTTCTGTTGAAATAATAGTATGGGCCGGACTCGGTGGCTCAGCCTATAATCCCAGTGCTTTGGGAGGCTGAGGTGAGTGGATTGCCTGAGCCCGTGGGTTCGAGACCCACCCAGGCAATTTGGCGAGACCTCATCTCTACAATAAATCAAAAATTAGCCGGGCGTGATAGCGCGCGCCTGTAGTTCCAGCTATTGGAAGGCTGAGGCGGAAGGATCGCCAGAGCCCAGCAGGTCGAGGCTGCGGTGGCCGGGAGCAGCCACTGCACTCCAGTCTGGGTGACTGAGGGAGACTCCAACTCAAAAAAAAAAAGAAAAGAAATAATAGTATGTACTCCTACCCCAAGAAAACAAAAATCTACATAGATTTTTTAAAAATAATCATTACAATTATTAGTATCAACTACAATGATCACCACAATATACTCAAAGCACTGTACTAAGAGCTTTATACATAGTCTCTCATTTACCCTTACCAATATCCCAGAAGTGTATATCCCTATATTATAGATTTAAAACTAAAGTTGTTCAGAAAAATTTCCCTAGATTATATAATAGTAGAGCATATATTTAAAAACAGATAAGCCCAACTTCAGAGACAACACTACTACATTATGCTCGTGGTATGGGTCTCAGTTCCAAATACATGCTTGCCTTCAATCACATTCTCATTTTTTTAAAGGTAGATAACAAAGGGAGATTAATAGTCTGCAACTAATGTGATTCCATAATTTTAAAGAAAGGTGAACAAACTGGTCAAAAATCCTAACCTTCTTTGGGCCACACTTAAGGAAATACTGAGCCAATTAAGAGCTATTCTAGCATCTTCTGTGGCAACATGACCAAGCTTGTCTGGACACTGTATATCCTCCCTGAAAAGTTAACACAAAACTGACATACCTGGGAGCATTTTCAGTGACAGACTCTCAACCACCTCAAATGTTCTTGTTACATGTAAAATTTTAGTATTCTGATAATTAGATTTGCATCACAACAATCAAGACACCTTTATTCCAGATAATTGTCAGGCCTTGAGAGAGGCGCTGAAGATACAGAACAATCGGGAATGGCTTTGTCCGCAGTAAACTTACCATCTGGACAAAGGGTTACCCAAGAAAAAGTCTCTAACTTCCCAGTCAGGTCCTTCTCTCATTTCTTAGACGTAACCACTGTTTAAAGTTACCTTCCAGAATTTTTTTTTTTTTTTAGTTGGAGTCTTACTCTGTAACCCAGACTGGAGTGCAGTGGACGCTCCCAGCCACTGCAGCCTCGACCTGCTGGGCTCTGGCAATCCTTCCACCTCAGCCTTACCAAGTAGCTGGAACTACAGGTGCACGCTACCATGCTTGGCTAATTTTTTGATTTACTGTAGAGATGAGGTCTCACCAAGTGCCCAGGCGGGTCTTGAACCCACGGGCTCAGGCTATCCACTCACCTCAGCCTCCCAAAGCGCTGGGATTAAAGGCTGAGCTATCGAGCCCAGGCAGAAATTTTTTATTTGTATACAGGATTTACATGTTCTTTAGGCCTTCCATAGTGGTATTTTAAAAAAAAAACTCAATATATTAATATATTTATGTCTATAATCTATATCATATCAATATCTAGGCATATATAGATCTTACTCTGCATCACCATTTTATTCTTAGTATCCTAGACAGGTTTTCATATTGGTACATACAGATGTATCACATTCTTTTGGACAAAATATTCAATAATACAGATAATCATAATTAATTCAACTAGTCCTTTAGAATATTTCCAGCATTTGGGGGGCTATTTTAAACAATATTACAACGAACACCTTTGTACATGTGTGTTTCTATATAACAGGATAGTATTGGTATGCTATACTACCCTTTATAGGTGTGTAAGTATGTTTTATTTTGAAGTTTTGATTAACTTTTCTGCCCCTTTCTGTCCAGTTCTATCCATCAAGCCTCAGTTGTAAATGTAAACCCCTTTTTTTATTGCCACCATTTCTTCATTTCATAAGAAATGGGAAAAACAATATTTATAACTGAAAAGGGAGAGCAGAGATCCTGAATTTTGCAATATGCATTAAATTAGATTCTATATACTAACTTGTATGCAATTTATTAGGACAATATTATAATATATAAACAAACCTACCCCAAAATAGCTTTGATTAAGAACTTTAGCTTAAATCTTCTGCCCTGCTTTCTGACATAAAGCAAGGATGTATCAATAACACATGGATGTATCATCTGAGGAAGAAAGAGAACAAAATGAGAAGCATCTTATGCTAAAGGAAAAAACAAGTGGGCTGGGGTGGGGCTAGCAGAGCCCAAGATAAGATAAATGTAAGATAATAAATGTAA